GGGTGGGAGGGTGGACTAGCACGAATGGTTCATATGTTCCTTTCTAATCCTTCCCCACTGCAAATAATGCAGTGAAAATGGAGTAAATTAAATTAGGTGAAAATTAATGTCTACTTACTGACTGAGTGGAAGGGCTGGATTGTAAATTATTTTGCCCAAGGTTATGCACGCAAGCACAAAAAAAAATCTGCAAGTAAAACTTTTCCTTAATTTTTTTTTTTAAGTCAGAACAAGAAATTCCCAATTCCTCGAAAAATGTGACTTTTTTTCTCTCATTACTCTCTTTTCTTTGAGTTTTTTCATCAAAGCAATGTGAAAGCAGCAGGGCCAGATGGCTTTTTCCAGATTGGCCAACATTGACCCATCCAGCCCTACACGTCCGCTTTCTCTAGTGTTTCCTATGGTATTGTGGGAGTGGGGCACAATAATTTTTCTCCTAGCGACATTTTGAATTTTATATTTATGCTGCATGTTTTAGAAACTTGGAGTTCTTCAAGGAAATAAATATGATTGTATAATTGTAACCCTGATTGCTTTTGGTATTATAAATATTTTACACTGTATTCCAAATTTACCCTTTTGCTATCTTCATTGTCTAGAATATATGATTTGTATGTGCGAGTTATTTTGACAATGATGTTATTTGCTTAATACAGTATTGTCACTTGTGCTATTGTCATGAAGCCTTAGGTTGAACGTAACATCTCAAGAAAGTCCCATACAACAATCAAGTACTTTTTGAAGATGCTGAGGTACTTTTGTCTTGTCTCATACTATTGTACCACTGTCTGAGTTCTGATTGTGGTCATGAACATACTCATTCATCTTTATAACAACTGCAAGTATGATAATAGCAAATGGCTTGAACCCAGGAGTAATTGTGGAATGAATGCTGGCAATTGAACCAAGAAATGTACTTCTAGTGGCCAGTGGCACATCATCCATTACTTTTGCTTAGTACACAATAGGCCATTTTACAGTTGTGTACTTGGTTGCAAGCCTATGATTTGGAGTGAGGCTGACGGTGACCTTGTAATGATGGAGACCACTGTATCTGGTTAGCATGATAACAATGAATTAATTTACATTTGAAAATCAGCAACATTTGTATCTTAACAAGGTCACCCTTAGCCTCACTCCTGTTCAAGGGCTTGGCAACAAAGCATGCGACTGTAAAATGGACTTTTTTCTTAAAATTATTCTTTTTGTTTTTATTTGCAGTTCAAGCAGTGAGACTCTGATCTTCATGTTCCTTGGAGTGCAAGTGGTCAGTTGGAGTCATGAATGGAACACACAGTTTGTCTTTGTCACACTGGTATTTCTCCTTGTTTTCAGGGCCTTAGGTGAGCTACTTTTATCTTTATACCAACATTTTTTTTCCTTTGTGCTATAAAAAATTTGAAATGTGCCAGAGAGGAAGCATGGAACTTTATACTACCTTAAGATCAGGGTAGTCAACAGTAAAGTTAAACTGTAAGTCAAGGGTGAAGAAGAATGACTAAACTTCTAAAAGTTGGACAGATTGTGAACTTTGAAGGAACTTGACTTAAGCCTTTTGGTCCCCTGAGGAATATAGGGTGGTAAAAACACTCCTCCAACACACTCAGTTCTGTGCAGTTCTCCTCAGCTGTGCCCATGTTGTTCCGATGGCCTTCCCCTCTGTGTCAGTGCTCCTGCGCCAAGTCTGTTTCGGTCTTCCTACTTTTCGCTTTTCTCGCGGATTCCAGTCAAGGGCTTGCTTGGTGACGTTTGAGGGGGATTTCCTGAGTGTGTTGCTGATCCACCCCCATTTCCTTTTTTCTGATCTCCACTTTGATGGGGATTTATACAGTAAGACAGACTTGACATTGGTGTTGAAGATTCTGATCTTGTTGGGAGGGAGAGGGCTGAAGAATTCCAACTGGGGTGGAGGGTGTTGAATGCATGTCTGGCCTTGTTGATCCAGCTCTTGATGTCTTCATCTGTTCCTCCATCTTTGTTGATGACGCTGCCCAGGTATACAAACTTCTCCACTTTGAAGGAATGTAACTGTTTATTTTTAATTTATTTCAGGGGTTGTCATCCTTACCTTCCTTGCCAATAGATTTGGTCGCATTAATAAACTCAGCGCTGTAGATCAATTTATTATGGTAATCAGAGTTTTTTATTGTTGTCTGCTTTGGCTAACTACATGTGCAGTATTAATTTGCTCACCAAAAACAACTTGTATACCAAGAGACTGTGGGTTTAGATGTTGCCATTTCTTCACCCCTCTCCTCTCCCCCTCAAAGCAAATGTGAATTAGTTTCCTATAGAAACTGTTATACCTGTTTGGCAAAGTAATGGAGCACAACACTTTAAGTTTGTTATCAAGGTGAATTTGATAAAGGTAAATTAATTGCTCTAATTGTGAGTGTTGAAGAGAATATTCAAGCATAAGAGTTTGTCATAATCATGATGATAAATGTACCTTTACCAACTTATTAATTATAGTCAATTATTGTCATTATTTTTTTGGGTTTATTTTTCACCTCTAAACTTATGAATGTAAGATGACAGAGGTAATTGTGGTTTTATCAACTGAGTTGATAAAATGTAAACTGGCCACCGTAAAGGGTTTCAAAGCTGTTGTTTCGAGCGTTAGCCCTTCATCATTCGCTTTAGAAATCTTTACGTTGGCCAATCAACTCCATTGATAAAACCTAAATTACCTTGTTATACTCCCCCACCGACGTAGCACCACAGTTTCTTGTGTATGAAACTTACCCCTTTTATTTATTAATATGAGAGCTTGCCAAAACCGTGCAGGTTAACTCCCCAGCATTCCCATCCACAGTCGGAATTTCTTTAATTCTGTCACTAACCCGATGGGAAACTGTAATTGTACTCATTGAATTAGGGATCTTCCTGTCCTCAAGTCAAAGCATATAGCGATGAACATTTAGTTGATACCTTACATAATTTATCTGAACTGTAAGTACTAAAATATGAGAACCTAGATATTAGACAATATCACCCAAGTGATTTTCCCCGATTTTCGAACCTCATGTCCACAACTGTACGGTAAGTCTTCGTTTAAAATTTTTATTCCAAGATGAGAGAGCGTTTTAGGGTTGTTACAGAAGAAGGGAAATATTTTTTTGTTCAAAAAGTCGTGCCCGAGAACACTCAAAAGAGAACATCTCGCGTAGCAAACAGTACGCTGTTCGTAAACATTTTTTCACGCGCGTTACAAGATAGTTGAACACAATAGCTTATATTTTGCGCGAAAATATGCTCGTATATTTGTCCTTGGACATCATCTGTTCCTCCACGCTCACAGTTTTCCTTGAGCTTCGCTCTCAGAAAACTGTTCGCATGTTAGAACAGATAGGCCAGTTGTTTAAACAAAGTTCAGCCATTGTTTAACAAAACCTCGTGCTAAGCCATCCTCAGTATAGCCGAACCTTTCATCTGAACATTTATTTTTGTGAACAATGTCAAGAGGGTCGAAAGCCAATGGTGGAAGGACATTTATTTCATCAAATCAACCCTTTTATAGAGAATCCCTGAGGCCCACTGTTTGGGTTAGACCTCGTGTAAATACCCGGTCCATAATGTCTGCGTGCAAATATCCGCGCATATTTTCGCGCCAAATAGAAGCTGTTGTTTATTTAAGTAGATGATTTCTTACTGTGGTTAAGATTCCAGACCAACCATTGCTTCTTTTGTCTTTGTTTTAGAGCTATGGTGGTATCAGAGGTGCTGTGTCATTCTCCTTGGCTGTTTTACTGGACGAACATCATTTTCCAATGAAGAACATGTTTGTCACCACCACAATTGTTATGGTCCTTTTTACAGTTTTCTTCCAGGTAAATGAGCAACATGGCCAGCAAATTTTCTCAATTTGCAATTTTTGAAAGTGAACACCAGGGCAAAACTCTTGTGCTTATCTGCTCAATTCTTCGATTCTTCGAAAAAAGCACAAGCTACACGATGGATAGTCCGATAGAAGTAGCAGGTAATGATAATATGCCTGTCTGATTATATCTTGTTATTACAGGGGATGACGATCAAACCTCTTGTGCGGATTCTTCATGTGAAACTGAGGGGAAAGGAACAACTCAGCATGTGTGTGGAGCTTAACGAAAAGGTAATTCCTTCTAATCTGGTTGCGTCTCAAAATTGCAACATCACCTTGTTTGATTGTATGTGGCTCGTGTTTTATTATCATCAGTTGTGTCCAAATAAGTCTCGGTTACTAACGCCGGATTCGGTGGTCTGTTCTCTAAAACTGATGATAAAAAGCTAACAAGCAAGAGTATTCATACAATTACTTCTATCTTAAATGCTGGATGAATGTTGGTTACCACGCAAGTTTAATTTAGAAATTCATTGAAATATGTTTATACTCGTGATTGGAAAGAAACACTGGGATTAATGAATTTAAGACCCCAGCGACAAACAAAGTTCCCCTGCATAAAGTTGAAGTTGTCTCGAAACATTTATTTAACACACTTTCATCCCTTTCTATAGCTTTTAGACCACCTTGTAGCTGGAATTGAAGAAATCAGTGGCCATCATGGTCACGGGTATTACTGGGTAAGAGTTTCCTGTGTGGAATTTGTGTATTAAGACAATTTTCAATTGAGTATCCAAAGTAATTCCTGATTGCATTGGTTTTTCTTTACTTCGCTCTGTGATTGGTCCAGAAAACTCGTGCCACTCTCGCAACCAATCAAATGCAAAACTAAAATAATAATAATAATAATAATAATAGTTTATCAATTTATAGTGCGCTCTTTACATACAATGATCAAAAGCGCATTACACTTTTGATTAAATTAAAAATTAACTTAAACAGTATAATATGTCAAACTGAGAATAGAACTGAATATGAAATTGCTCACCGATAAAGAGTTCTGAAAAGATAAGTCTTGATATGCGCCTTAAAACTGTTCACATTAGTAATCGCACGAAGTTCTTTTGGAAGAGAGTTCCAGAGCCTTAGCGCTGCTACCATAAAAGCTCGATCACCTAACGTCTTGGATCGAGTAGCTGGCATAGAAAGTAAAATACTATCTGAAGATCTAAGGTTATATAAGGACGATTTAAATGTTAGTAAATCACATAAATATTTAGGAACAGGCCGTGAATTGCTTTGAACGTAATAAGCAGAATCTTAAATTCTATACGCGCTTTAACAGGAAGCCAATGCAGACCGCGAAGAAGGGGCGAGACATGACAAAACCTAGATGCATTACAAACTAGCCTGGCTAAGGCATTCAAAACTCTCTGCAATTTGTCAAGCTGGTAGTTGGGCAGCCCATACAAAAGACTGTTACAATAATCAACACGAGATGTAATAAATACATGGACAAGCATTTCTGTTGATTCTCGAGACAAATACTTGCGAATGCGTTTGATATTGTGCAAATGATAAAAGGCAGCACCACATAACTTGCTAACATGAGTTGACATAGTAAGCCGCTCATCAAACCATGAGCCTAGGTTTCTAGCAAACGTTACCGGACAAACATCAATCGACCCAACCCTAATGCAATTGATGTTAACCTTGGCTAGCTGCTGCCTGGTACCTATAATTAAAAATTCTGTTTTGTTATCGTTCAACATGAGATTATCTGAAATCAGCCAACTCCTAATGTCATTGATACAGTCAGTCATTGACTTGATGGAAAAATCAGCATCCACGGATCGATTAGGGGTGAATGATACATACAACTGTGTGTCGTCCGCGTAGCAGTGAACTTGTAGAAGATGGCGTTCAACAATCTGAAACAGTTTGCGCGTGTAGATAATGAAAAGCACAGGGCCCAAGCATGATCCTTGAGGAACACCTTGTTTTAAAGGAAACTGATCTGAGAGACTACCATTTACAGAAACACGCTTGGTCCGGTCAGATAGATACGATTTAAACCAGGCAAGCGTCAGAAATTCCCAAATCAGACTTAAGACGACCAATCAGCTTATCATGATGTATCGTGACCAATTGCGACTTGGTCGCCCGCGTTTTCCCGCGGTTTTTAAGCAGATAGCTTGTTTTTACTTTTTAAGTTCTCATCGGCTCTTGAAGGTATTTTCCTTTTTCCTTATTGGCTGGTGTGAATTCTCTGGTGCTATGACACGCAATCGAAAAGTGCTCCGACTCATTTACTGATGCAGCTGTGTGATAGCTCTGACATTGTCATAATTCACAAGACGCCATTGATATTTCCTCTTCTTTCGTTCCTTAACATTAAACTCGACGAATTGATAACTTGGACATTTCTTATCTGACTAGTGGCTATCGAAACTCTTTAATTGCACCTTCCCAGTTCCTAAGTCTTGAGAAAGAGTTATTTTCTAAAGGCCATTTTTTAAATTAGTTCTGCAGTATCAATCACTTGGAAAGGAAGGATTGCAACAGCTTTATTTGTACCCTTTTACATGACACACCAAAAAAAAACCATTACATGAAAAATAGAAAGAGAACAGGCTGCCCGTAATAACCATGGTGGGCTAAAAAGATAGGACAGCCCTCTTAGGTTATGAATAAATAATTATATTAAAAGGGCCAGGTACCGCACACACGCACACACGCACGCACACACACGCACACACACACACACGCACGCACACACACACACACACACACACACACACAAAACACAAAAGAAAGAAGAAAAAAGCTAATAGAAAAAAGAAAATCAACAAAGGAAAACTTAATGTGGCAGTATCGAACAACGGAAATCCAGAAAAAAATGTAGAGTTGTGAGGTTGAATGTAGAAAAATACTGTTTAATCCTCGATCAATCAAAGGTCCCTTTTGTTAAAATCATGTGTCTGAGGATCTATTCTCATTATTGTTATTACTTTGCAGGAAATGTTAGAGTATGTGCACACACATTATCTGAGGAGGTGGTTGATACGTGACAACGATCGGTTTGTCCAAGATGAAGAAATTTTGCTCGCGTACAGAAGACTGGCTTACAAGTAACGCAAACTTAAAATCTTTTGTTTTTAGGTGATGATATCAACTGCGATGAAAAAAAGCTATGGGGTAATAGATACATGATTAACGTGACGAAGGTAGACTTCAATGTAGACAAGAGCAGAGTACAGAAGAGTTTAGTGTAGTCGGTGTTGTTTGATCCTTTCACTTGTAAGTGTGTCTGGCTTAAAATTTCTCCGTACAGTTTCGCCTTTGAATCGAATGTAAGGTTCATAAAAATGAAAGGAGTGGTAATCAATTTGAGAAGCTCCTGATTGTCAAACAAGTTTCCTTTGTCGATACAATAGGAAGGAAAGAGAATAGCTTGGAGAATATGAATGCTCATGTTAGCGTAGAAAGGGTAAATGTGGTCGGTGTAGTTTGGTGTAGTTGGGGTTGTTTAATGAGGTTGGTATAGTTTGGTGGAGTTTGGTGTAGTTTAGGTCTTTGATATACTTTGAAATATTAGATGACTCGGACGTTTGTCGAATAGCTATCCAAAATTCAGTTACATCTGCTTCAAGTATCTTTTAAATTTTTGTATTGATATCAATTCAATAGCTGTAGAACTGACGATCTGTAACTTTTCAAAGGGGTGAAATAACTTTAATTTTTCTCCCATGCTTTATTTTGCAGAGATGCCTTGACACGCTTAGAAAAAGAAGGAAGCGGATCAGCCATATTTCCCACAAAGTAAGGATCCTTTCATTTACATAACTGAGTGTTTTTAAGTTTCATTATTTCTGGCTCTCTGTCGTGCACACCAGCTAAACCGGTATGAAGATTACAAAGCTTCGTCGGGGGTGGTGAGAGTGTATATTATGGTATCTTGTAGGAGTCAATTACAGTTCGAGCCACGGTTATAGTTAAATTCAACCTTTGTAAGGATGTGGAGTTCTCCCTCCTCGGGAGTTAGTAAAAACGCTTATCTGTTAATCTTGCAGTATCCCACTTGAGCTGTTAGCGAAGAGTGCTTTTGAAGCATCGGCCATCTGTGCAAAGTAAGTGGCTTTGTTAAATGTACAGTAGTTTTTAGCGTAGCCCGTTATTAAGAGTACATACTGAGATAAGCCTAGTTTCGGAACTTCTGAAACGGCCATAAAAATCGTAGCCTATTTTCATTTAAATTGGATTTGATACTTCGGTTTTAGCGGGGCTCCCACGCGCACGAAGCGCGCGTGGGACAGAGCCCCATACCCATGTAATATGGTCAACCTCTTTTCGTTTGGTTGTCACGTGACTGACCGAGCTTACGTACGTACCTACGTACGTGCCTTCGGATTGCACGGGTAGGGTAGGGGAGACTATCAAAACGAAGGGAGGGATGTCTCAGGCGAGTCTTGGCAAATGCAGATCTTTTATGTTATCATTAATATTACGAACTTGGGAGCTCCGCTTTTAGGCTTGGCTAAATCTATGTATTACACGTATATCTGACGTCTAACCTGGCATGACAAAATTACTTCGTTTGGAACAGGTCTTCAGCCTCAGTGAAGTAAGATTTATTCGTTCAATGGTAGTTTTTTTACTTGAAAATGCTNGTTTACTGTTTTATTTTTTCGGTAAACAAAGGTCATTCTTACCGTAAACCAAAGGTAGAAAGAAAATTCCAATTTTTGATCTGTACTCTGATCGTGAATGGACTGAAAACGCCACCAGTATGAAATACTATGAACAATCTGTCTGAGTTTGGCTTTCAAAGTTCTTTTGCTCCGGCTACAAATAAACGCGTATTCTAATTGGCATGTTCTGACAGAATATACATAGTTGACTTCTCGAATTATCACAAGCATAACATGGATGCTACATAATAGTTCTTTATCTAATGTGATTGGGAAATATTGGATACCTGCTAATTACTTTCCAACCACGCAAGAAACATCCGTTTAACTTGTTTCATTATAGTTGATGCTAAATAAAGGGACAACTAGAGCCCCAAAGTAAACTTAGATAACAGCCTGTGACGTCGGAGCGATGAAAGAAATCACTTTTTACTGCATTTTTAGCCAAAAAAGTATCATGAAATTGGCATAGCGTCAACAATATCACAACAAGTACACAGTCTAATGCCATTTGATGATCTAAAAGTCTAGAGTTCGTTCCATATTCTTAAAACACTTCCTTCTTAGAGTCATTCGACCCTAAGGAATGACGTAAAAATATGAGTTCATTGCTCGGCGACTTAATTTAACCATGTGAAGATTTCTTTTAAATATAGATAACAGCTTATTACGTTTCAAACTTTTAATTTCGTGTCGACCATTATTGACTTACTTATTGTTGCGAAATCCAATACGCAAGAAATATCTGACTGACCAGGGGCCCGTTTCTCGAAAGTCCCGGTAACTTAACGGGCCCGAAGCAATGTTTTAAAATCAAAATTTAAAGGATAGGGAAGCAGGTTCTGGCACCCAAAACAAGTCCTTTTTGTTTCTTTAGCTGATAGTTTTATTCCATCATTTTCAAAACTTTTGAAATCGCCATCTTAAAAGAAAACATAACAGCTTTACGGGTCCGTTAAGTTACCGGAACCTTCGAGAAACGGGCCCCTGAATCGGTACGTAACCTTTAGGAGTAGCGTCTTTGGTCGTTTTAAAGATTAATTCTAGCTGTCAAGTGTTTTGGTTCTTAAAAATGGCCAGAAAATAAAGTTTGTGGAGTTTTGTCGGCATTCAAACCTCTTAATGGTACTATGCAGTTATTCTTCGATACAACGTTTAATTTTGATTGAGCTAAATATAAACACTTCCTTCCTTTTTTTTTTTTTTTCCAATTTTAACACTTTGTCCTTTCTTCTACAGGGCAGGAGAAGATGTTCGTGTTCCTGATGCTATTCAAGTAGATTGGCGAGCGTCAGGAGGTACTGTTATGTTTATAACCCCATAGCCCACTGACTACGCGTAGTGTCACAAAAATAATCTTTGAATACTCTTTTTGAACATTGCGTTGTGTATGTGGCCGTGATTCAGTAATGCTTGTAATCAGTTGTTCATGGACACATATCAAAAGGTTCTGTCGCAAGACGTAAGACAGAAACTCCTCAGTACATATGTATTTAACAGCTTGTCACAGAATGGGTTCAGGGGAAAAAACTGTTTTCCTTCTTAACCATTTACACCCCAACATCACTTTGCATATTCCCCATACTGTTCTCCATGAATCTCCAGTTGCTGACAAGGAGAATTAGTTTAACAATCAAGAGCTTCTTAAGTGGGTGATTATTTTCTTTATTCCCGTGGCCTTAATGTGTGATTCAGGGGTGATATTGTAAGGAGAAATTCGACTCCAGTCCCTCTCAGGGGTCATACAGTTAATGTTCATGACTCTTTCTTTGACATTTCAGTACCAAGTGGAGGCGAGCTTGAAATTCACGACACCTCAATGCATAGCTTAAACAATCTCATAGAAAGAAACAGAAGAAGTGTAAGTATTACTGCCA